CGGCCAACAAGCTGCCTCCGTTTTCCCACTTTCCCGCATCCCCATACCATTTGTACTTATTGTTTTTCACCACCCCACAACCACCACCACCCCCTTAAAGTATCTGGGTTATGAGTGGTTTAATGGCAACTCGCTCTCGTGCTTTGTTCAGCTTTGTTGGTTGTTGCCTTCCAACTTGAATACTTTGGCTGGTTAGTTCTGGCCAAGTTCTGGTGAAGGAACTATTTCCTAAGCTGCTTAGCAAGATGTGTAATGCTCTGCTTAGACAATTGCTAAAAGCAAGAAATAAATGAAGGAAATACGAGTAAGCCATAGAAACTTGGAACACTTAATCTATTTGCTAAGAAAAATCAAAAGATTTAAAATATTCAAAGAGAGAAATTCTAGATGGGTTATATTATTTTATGATTCCACCAAATTTAAATTTACAATTTGACATACACTTGCTAGCCAATAACCCCTAATTAACGAACATTTTCAAGTACCCAAAGTAATAAAGCACTTTCCTTATGGCCTCTCACAATGCCAATCAAATGCTCGGCGAGAATAAGCCATTTCCGACTTGCGAAAAAGAGGGGAAGATATTCGCATAATTATGACTTCAGCGGTTACAGTCTGGCAAATTTTCCATGTGAATGAATTTCGCACAATTACACACGCGTAGGCAGAACCGAAAAAAAGAAGCGAAATAAAAAATGATATTTTGGGGGAGTGGGCACATGTCGGCACATGACGAGGAGGCAGATCAACTTCATTCACAATTAAGCTAAAAATACAAGCCCCCCAGTTCGCTGAATAAAATTTATTGTCAAGTGCAGAGTCACAACATTCAAGACGACGTGTAACAGTCGCAGCAGTCACAGTCGCAACCGAAATAATTGGACAGCGGGGAGGCCGAGAAGAAGGCAGTCTGGTTCAGGTCTAGGTGTAACAAAGGAGAAACTCTGGGAAATACGCAAAATATCTGGGGGACGGATGGAGGTGGAGTCACGCTGTCGCTCACAGAAAAATAAGGAAAACGCGCGGAGGGCTGGGCAAATCAACAACACAGTCTTAATGAAGGCAATAATTCAAACAAAATGCAAAATTCCCTGGCCAAACTGAAGGAAGTCACGGCGAGTCACTCCATTGCGAAGACAGCGTTGAAAAATTACCGCCCAAGAAAAAATTCCTGGTTGAAATTAAATTTTTACAAAATCAAATGAAATCCAGCGTGTGGCAGTCACTCACTCACTCACTCACTTACTCAATTCAATTCCCTTGACTCCCTTGGTCGTCGTCCCCCGATATTCCACTTATTAATTAGTTTGTATATTTTTGGCATACGAAACGCAACACGAAATTGTTTAACATTTTATCCCCGGCACATTAAGTGGCAACATTTGTCAATTTGTTTTCGGTTGTAATTTTTGGGCCCAGAGCGGGAGGGTCACCACTCTCGAAACTCGGACTCTTGGGTGTTTGTGTGTAGTTAATGGCCGAACATTTGCCTAAATAATGAGGCACCGGTGTATTGCTTTGAATTCGATTTGGCTTGATTAAAAATATATTTCATTGTCGAGAGCCGTTGGCTGTGTAAGTGGGTCGTCGTCGTCCATCGCCCGTCGCCCGTCGCCAGTGGGTGGATCGTATCGGATCGAAGGCGGTTGCATTAACTTCACGAGAAACAACAGCTGAGAAGCTAATCAGGCAAATGTGGCACAGTTTTCGGTAAGGTGAATTCATTAGCCCCCGAGTATGGACACGGTTAGTTGGGGGGCAGGACAAATGACTAAAGCGGAGTCGTAAGCCAGATGGCATTGAGTAATGCCCCCTGAAGAGAAAAACATTAGGGAATTCCGAAAATTTGAAAGTAAACTAAATGAAATTGATTTTTCATTTGTAAGCACATGTATGACAATTTAGTTTTTTTAAACCTTATAAAAAATTCATTATCAATCAAAAAGCAGGTTATAAATAAATCCGAAAGTAAAATCAAAAGATAGAAATACAAAATTAAAGTTGAAATAATATCCTTTAGCAAATTTTTCATCATTTCCCTACTATAGTATAAATTATTTTAAAATATTTATCAATTAAACTATGTGGTATTTTATAATATAATAGTATTTGTTCAATTCCATTTGCAAAATGTTGTATATTTTTCAAACCAATCCGCTTCAAAGTTTACTTAAATCTAGCTTGCTGCATAATTAAAAGTGAAAAATATAAAAAGGGAAAATGGAAACGCTCGCCTATTTCCTGTCGCCCTGCAATGCAATTTTCACTTTTTTTCCATGTCGCTCCGTTTTCTCATTTTGTCAAATAGCCTCAGGGCAGAAAGAAGGCAGTTGGCAGGAGGGCAGGGCAAACTTTCGAAATTTAACGCCGGGCACAATGGGGCAACTCAGGAATCGCTGGCTGCCAGCCGCAGTGGCGGAGAACAATTACTACGGGTTTTTCGGTCTTATGCAAACAGGAAACGCATAATGAACAAAGTCCGAACGAGCCGAGGAGTCACCACTCACTCGCCCGGAGAATGGAGCACGCGACTCCGGACAAGCGACTCCGGCTTCTCCTGCCTGGCTTTCATTCATTCATTTTTGAGCGGTTTCGTGGTTAACAACCGCTTCCTTATCCTTATTATTTTAATGCCTGCGGCAGCATTCCATCTTACTTACATTTTTCTCTGCTGTTGTGGCTTAAATATTTTAACTACTGCCAGCTACTAGTTGGCTGTCTGTCTGGGCCGGGTCTTTGTGCCCGTAATTGGGGTTAACTGCGTTCAGCAGGTGAGGAGCTGCTCCGCTCCGGAGTCGCCATTGTGTGTCAAAGTGTGCCAAAAGGAAAAGTACAATTTTCTGCCGCACTTATAAATTGTCCGTGCTGGAGTTTAAATTTGGTTTTCCAGTTTTTCAGTTTTTCAATTTTTTTTTTTTGGTTCTTCTCTAGCTTGGGGGCTGGCAATTAACTGCAATTGAAAGTGAAATTGAATTTGTGGAGCTGAAATAGACGGTGTGATTTTGACAGAGTGTCAGAGTTGACACGCATGTTGGGAAAATTCAATTATAAATTTCACTGCAATCGTCCCGCTGTCTCTCTGTTTTTCGCCAACTCATCGTCGATTCAGTTGATAATTATTTTTACGCGCCGAGTTGCAGGGTAAAGTGCATTAAAAATGCAAATGGCAACACTTTGCCACTTTGATGCCAGTGTTGCCAGTGTTGTCACGTTTGCCGTTTTATTAATTTATTAAATTAAAAACAACGCAAAAGGAGGCAACAGCGCACCGCCGGCTCCACTCTGGCATGTGTAATTGTAAATTTATGAGCGTGCCACAAATAAAAAGGACGCTCAGTACTACAGTACAGTAGAACCAAAAAAAAAAGGACCAACGGCGGCAGGTCCAACGAGTTCAACTGGGGCGCACTGTCAATCGTGTTGCATGAATTATTAATTATTTGCTTTTCGCACACACATCCCGATAAAGGGACAGCGGGCCCACAGATACAAAAATATACGGCGCCAGTGTTGCAATGCGGCAATCGTCTGTCAACTCCGCCACTTTGACAAGGGAAACACTAATAAAATTATTAACCAAAATGGCAAAAAAAGGGCATTCATTGCGTTACTGATTGCCAATAAAAAAAAGAGAAACCGAAATTAGTTAAATCTAATTACCTGTCACGCTTTATTGTCCTTAGCATAACGAAATGGATTTTGAAAAATAAAAAGTCAATGCCCAGGATTTTTCCAAGGGCTAACCAAAAAATCATGAAATGGGAAAAGTAAGAAGTATTTTAGGTGGGTAGGTAATGTGAGCGGCCAACCCCGAGGGCCCATGCAGGATTCAGGAATCTCCACCCCTGGCCGCTGCCTTATTTATCCTGCGTTTTCCCCCGGGGACACGGGCCATGGCATTTTCCTTGGCTCGCTCTGTGAATTATTCAGGGCTCAATCGATGGCTGGCCCAAGCATCTTCTTCGTTGCATACTGTACCATACCACCACGGTATATATACAGTACACGCCTCCCGCCCTTTTCTCTTTTTTTCTATATCCCTCAGTGCTGCTGACAGTTTATTTGCCAAATTGCTTGTATGTAATATGAAACTTTTTTTTTTGGCCATTTCTGTTTCGAGGCTAATTTTTAGTTGGGCAAAGGGGATCCCAAAAAAAATGTCTCTGGGTGTGTGCTAAATCGAAAATCTGTAACACGCGTCACACAGTATTAAATGAGCAGAATGGCAAAATCAGGAGGTATAAAACGTAAAAGAGGGTTAGAACACTAATATGGCATGACTCAACCGATTTCCACGTGGAATTTAATGGCTGAGCGACCTATCTTTGTTGGTTTATCACTATGTGCACTCGGAAAAATATTGAACACATATTTTTAAAAATGCAAAAAACATACTTGGAAGTTGTATTAAATTAAACTTTAATAATACTAATTTCTTTTCTTTAAGTAACCCCACCTATATGAATTGTGGTTTGTAATACCACTATAAAAACCTTTACATTTAAATGTTCTAAAATTTTATAAACACTTTTCTCAGTGCTCCCGCCCAACCCCATTGTCCGGGCTCTGACCATAATTCATGAAAAGTTTTAAATTTGAAAATCTGGCCATGGAAAGGCGGAATAATGGAGGAACAGCACAGTTATTGTTGCGTTATAAATCTAATTAGAATATGCGAGCATTCGGGGCCCGTATCTGAATATGCACGTAGACTAAACCAATTCCAACCCCCTTCCCCTTCCCCGGGCTCATTTCATATGCTCACCGCATCTGGCCGCATCTGAAAATTGCCAATGGCGCCGCTGCGTCTGGGGCAATAAATTTGATTTGTTTCAAATTACAGAAGAACGCAATTTCTTCTTTTTTTTCGGTTGCACTTTTTCGGCTGAGCCGGTAAATCGAATTGAATTGTTGAATCCTTGAAGCTGCGGTTGCTTTTTGTGGGCAATCTTCATAATTTACATAAGCAAATCAAATTGTAAACGTAATGCGAAGACAATGGAAGGAGAGAAGGGACGGGGAGGGCAGAAAAGGGAGTCTGAGTCGGCTTAGAATGGAACTATGTTGAGTGGATGGCGCAGATTTTGCTCCTTTATTTCTTGCGTGGTTTAAAAAATGTGTCAGCTTTGTGTGGAAAAGCCTTCTTTGTTTTAGTCAATGCGTCAGGGAAATTCAGCTCAAGTGGTGTGTGGAGAAAGTTGAAAGGATTGCCACCATCCGGAAAGGCAGAGTGTGAATCCTGAAATAAAAATCCTTTGAAGTGAGAGTGTTCAATATGTGTGCCACTTTCTGTTTTTTGCCCAACACTAGAGAACAATCGATGGGCGGTGTGACATTAGAGATACTTACCAACACTGCTGGCCAGAATCCCATCGAACTTACACCCATGACAGGTAACTTTTTTTACGTGTGTGTATTGGATTAGTCCTAGTGAAAATTGTGTAAAATTTCTGTACAAATTGTGAGAGAAATTAGAGTCAATACGAGGGCATTTTTTGAAACAAACGACTACGACGAGACAAGGAAATCTCCTCAACACGAAATAAAAGAATCGGTGAATTCAATAGATCCAAATACGAAACCACCAGCAAAAAACATAATGAAGTCTTCAAGAGCGGCACTTTAAGACAGATTTAATACAGAACATCTTAAGACTATAATCGTTCCCTTGGGTTTTTCGGTTTTCCAGGGCCTCGTTTCCAGTTAACCCACCTAAGATCCCCGAAAAAACGAAAAACTTATTTTGTGGCGTTCAGTTTGCTGTCAACTCTTTGCTTCGTAGGAGTGACAGATTGAGGTTCCGGACACACAACATATTCTTTAGCAATCTGCGTTTACGTACGCACATATATATAGATATATGTCGTTTGGATCGTGATTAGGCCGTATCGGTAGCAATGTCCACTGCTCTGGCAATGGCAGCGGCTTCATCCTCGAGTGCCACGGCAGCAGCAGCAACAACGACGATCAATAGCAACACCACAAACACCACAGCGTCGCCGGCAACAACAACCACCACCACGATGAACACCACCATAAAGACCACAACCACGGCGGATACAAATATGGCTTCCATTCAACTGGAAATTGAAGAGTCTGGCAAGGAGCAGGCAGAGGATTTGGAGCCAGCAGTCGAGCTAAGTGCTCCGAAACCAAGAAGGCTGCGCAAAACCACGGTGGTGCACACATGCCCTCGGCCACCGGGTGGCTACAGGTACTCCATGGAGTTTCTCTACGGGATTGGGAGTGGAATGGCCGGCGTGACCCTCAATATTCCCACCCCCTCTTCGATAACACCACGCACTGTGAGAACCACGGCTCCTTCACTGACCACCCACGTGCCTTTACTGCCCACCATGGGCATGGCAACAGCTGTATCAGGACGTTCGAGTGGTGCATCGGGGAATCGTTACTCAGGTGGAGTAATGGGAACAGCTGGAGGAACCACCGTAGCCTCGGTCCCGCCGACCTCCACGGCGACAACAGCAAATGCCTCTGCAGGATCAGGAGCAGAAGGAGTGGCAGGAGCAGGTGCCTTAGCAGCCGGTTCATCGGGCACCATGCCAGCTGCCCAGTTCATCTACCAGGGGTACCTGCCCACTGGACCCCAGCGACGATTGTGGCACACGGAGAACGCCGTCTGGCAGTTCGATAGGAACTATCCATATAATCAGGCCTATTCTTCACAGTACGGAATACCAATGATGCCACTGGGGTTTGAACATCCATATGGTCAGCGAATTATATACCCGGGCTACTACAATCAGGCCACTGGTGGATTACATGCTAGTCCAATGCCGGGAATGTCGAGAACCAGAAGTCATGTGGCACAACAGCCACATTTGTTGCCGCAACCAACGGTTGCTGTTGGTGAAACCACCGAGGAAACTCCTCCAACCCTTGGAAATGCTCCGCAGGTGAGCAGTCCCTGGCGTTACGGAAGACCAGGAGCACATCGCGATCGCTTAGGATCAGGACGACAGGCGGTGTCCGCCGCAGCGAGTTCAACCGTATTCCACAGAGACTCGAGGACATTTTACAACAACATAACCGGTGGACCGCGTTTCAAAGCGCCCTTTGTGGCGAATCCTCGCAGTTATCAAGGAGGAGCTATATCAGCCGGAGGAGCAGTAACCGCAGCAGCGGGAGGAGTTTCAGCTGGGGTATTTACAGCAGGAGCAGGCAGCTCCAGCGATCAAAATCTGGCCAATCGCAACAATCCAGGCTCCTCGTCCAGCAATCACTCCAGAATCCGCCAGAACAGCAAGAGAGGCGGAAAGAATGCAATTGGCAAAGAGCGCACCTCTAATTCTTCGGGATCTCTGTCCGCTTCCTCCTCGAAATCGCAACTGGACAGGCGTCCCAGTTCGAGCACGTCCATTTCGCCGATCAAACATCCGAATCGCACTTACAGGAACCGGATGCGCTATATGGCCAATGAGCAAGTGGAGCAAAAGTCGGTGGCCATAGCGGCGCCAGTGAATAACTACCAACCGCCGACACAACCATCTGCAGTGCGAAGGGTTTCCAAGTTCCAAGGAGGAAATGCCTATCAGGAGTCACGATACTATCAATCCCGACACATGGATGCTTTCGTCTACCAATCCGGGCACTTTATGGTTTATGGAACGGGGTCACCGGGCGCGGGGGCAGGAGAAGTGCCCATGCCAAGAGCAGCAGGAGGAATCGCAGGATCTGGTGGAGCAGGAGGTGGTGGAGGAGGAGCAGCTACGGCCGCGGCCAGCAGCGCCACCTCGGAGGGCGAGCAGCCGCTGGACTCGGACTTTGATCAGCGCCAGGACTATGCTGACTTGGGTCTGGATCCAGCCAATGGCGGCTTCTCCTCCGACCTGGAGCCGCTCGGTTACAAGCAGGACACCTCCGAACTGGACGCCCACTCGTGTCAGCTGTCGCATCCCAGTTCCGAGATCGATGGCGACGATGGCCATTCCTTTGCCAGCTTGGCACCCAGTGTAGAGAGCGATGCCACCGAGAGTGACCTAAGCGACGCCTCCGTGGAGTCGGTGGTTCGCAAGATAATGGTCAGTTGCCTGGCCATGGCCACTGGTGCCCAAGAGCCCGATCTGAGTGGTCCGAATCTGGTGCCCTACGGTGACATGCACCATCTCAAGGAGCTTGAGAGAAAGTCCCAAGCGACTGGCATGAGCAACGGATACAGGTGCGCAATGCAACACCATCCGCATCACCTTCACCATCCGCATCTCAGTCCCAGAGGAATGAGTTGCTGCGGCGATATGTTGAGTCAACCCTCGGAGGAGATGGTCTACAAACAGGACCAGCAGGATCAGCCGGATGCCTTTGGCAATGAGAAAAGCTACTTGAAGGAGATAACCGAGGAGGCCGACAACATCTCGGTGACCTCCAGTTTCTCTTGCAGCCCGTCCGCGTGCTCCAGCATGAGTGCACTGGCTCCCGCGGCGAACAGAGGCAACTTCATCCTGGTAGGTCAACTCCCATACCGCAAATAAGTGGCTATATTATTCAGAGGCCTAAAAAAATCTGTTTATAATTTTGTCCGTTTGTCCGACAGTTCCTTTTTATATGAAATATTTGTTATATGATTTTTAGCAATAATTACTCAAATAAAATCTAACTTAAATTCACTTCTTATAATTTGTTATATTCTTGCGTAAGAGTATCAAATTATTGCTATTATTTTAGACCGATTATGGTTTAAGAAAGTATAAATTCTAAACAAAATATCTGTTAATTTCCAAAAATAACCAAAAATTTTAACTAGGAAAAAAAATCCCAAATCATTCGGCAGCCGATGTCAGTTTATTTACCTTCCCCCGTTTTATTTTATTCCGTATCCCTAATCCTCATCCCCAAAGCAAGAAGAAACCGCAGACGACGAACTGCCCTTGGTGATTCACAATCGCTATTGGCGCGAATTTTTTGGTTATACACCAGCTGATCGTTTTTTACTCAGAACCAAATTAGTGGAAATAAAGCGGCCACCGAAAACCGTGTCCAGCAGGAACAAGTGGGAACCCTTGTCCCTTTCCATTTGGAGGAAGTTCCTCGAGGCCCAGCAGACCCGTCATGTCTATAAAACCAAGATGCGACTATGGCGTTTCATTTACACAGTGGCCATGGTAAGTGTAGATAGGGAATTTCGAATGTAATCTAAGATTTTGAGCTATCCACCGATCTGCAGACGACCTATCCCAGATATGGCCTATATTTGGTGGGCTCCTCCATATCGTTCTTTGGATCCAAGTGCTCGGACATGGACATTTGCATGCTGGCCTGCACAAATCCCAACATTGATCCCCGCATGGAGGCCGTCTATCACCTGCAATTGATGAGGGAGCTGCTGAATCGCACGAATATGTTCCAGGACTTCAATCTGATCGAGGCTCGAGTGCCGATACTTCGATTCACCGACCGGCGACACAAGGTGGAAGTGGACATTAACTTCAATAACTCCGTTGGGATCAGGAACACCCATCTCCTGTACTGCTATTCCCAGTTGGAGTGGCGACTGCGTCCGATGGCCTTAACTGTAAAACAGTGGGCTCAATATCACAATATCAACAATGCCAAGAACATGACCATTTCGAGTTACTCCCTCATGCTGATGGTCATCCATTTCCTGCAGGTCGGAGTTAATCCGCCGGTGCTGCCATGCCTGCACAAGCTATATCCGGATAAGTTTGGACTCTTGCTACCCAGCGATTTCGGCTATGTGGACATGAACGAGGTGATGGCTCCGTATCAGTCGGAAAATACCCAATCTCTGGGTGAGCTACTGCTGAGTTTCCTGCACTACTACAGTGTGTTCGAGTACGGGAAGTATGCAATCTCCATACGGGTGGGTGGTGTTTTGCCCGTGGAGATTTGCCGGGCCTCGACTGCACCCAAAAACGACATTCACCAGTGGAACGAGCTGTGCATCGAAGAGCCCTTCGATCAGACGAATACAGCGAGGTCGGTGTACGATTCGGATACCTTTGAGCGCATTCGGGCCATCTTTATGGCCAGCTACAGAAGACTGGAGACGACGAGGAATCTAAATTCCATATTCGAGGGCTACGACGGACCCACAATCCTGATGCAACAGCCCTCGGCGGAATCAGAAAATGAGTTTTACGAAGGCCAGGCGCAGCAGCATTTGCTGGCGAACAGAGGATCCTCCAGGTCCAATAGTAAAAGACCCTCGCCGCGACCCTCTAAACTGATGGTGGACAAGGCCACCACGGCCATTTGGAGCGATATCAATGGAAAACCTGAGCTAGCAGCCAACCGAAACGGAACTTTGGATAGCAATCAAAATAACCATGATACCGGCACTAGTGCAAACAATTGTGCTGGAATTAATAACAAGATCTCCAAGAATATGCATAGCAATGATGAATCTGTGGCCACCGAGTCACCGCATGCATAAAAACTCTCATCAAAAATATAAACTAAAACCAAAAACACTACATCATACGCCACTCTCCACAAAACTATGAAAGAAATCTTTTTATATCACCCCCATCAGGATGTAAAAAAAAAATTGAAAGGTTGTGAAAGAAAGTTTTTTGTAGCAGTTGCCGGGCGCTTTTAAACCGATTTAAATTTGACGTTGGATAATTATATATGAAATGTAGGGAATTAGTCGACTTCAATTCACAGAATGTGAAATGACCAAATAAATAACTAAACACCTATCACAACGCAAAGTCGGTCGCAAAAAAAGCACAAAAGTCTGCAAAAATGCAAGAAATAGTTTCATGTGTTTGCGTACCTTAACGACTAAACTCGTTTTCACAAGCTTCAAAACAAGTCAGTTGCTAAACAAAATGTAGCAATTGAAATTAAAATACCAAAAAAATAAACAAAATTTAAAAATGTAAAAAAAAAATAAATCATCAGAATCGAAGCCGTTTTGTACAAAGTAGGGAAGCATACATTTATACATCACAATATTCCTACTTTTTATACAGGTATAGGTTTTCCAAAACAAAAACATTACAAAAAAAAACAACAAATGAATAAAATGTACAACAAAAAACTCAACAAAATTTTGTAATAAAACAGTGTAAAAAACGCGCAAGTCTTCACAAAATAGCTTACGAGTTAAACGGTTGATTACCAAACTCAACCAAAAAACTTGATTAAACCTGATGATAGCGCCAAAAAAATTATAAAAAATAAAATCCTTAACAAAAAAATTGTAAATTTATGGGTAGGGATATTTTACCTCGATAAAAATTATTTTAATTTATTGTCAGTTTTACAAAAGTAGTTTCTGAAAACCATTTTTGTTTGAAATGCTCAAATATTTCTTTGCTTGTACATCTGTGCATAAATCAACCCAATGAAATCATCCATCATCAAGCCATTAAGACCCGAATCTGATCCCAATCTCGATGCCTTCATTTCAACACTTGGACTCTCTGGGGTCTTCGAACTATATGCGAGTGAAATTATTTAGGATGCTCAATTTGATATTCCGCTCTGATTAATTCTTAGTGGTTGCCGTCATCATCGAATATCACCCTTGGGACGCACACTCACACTCCGGATGTCCAAAATTCTCGCACATGTTCCAGTTTGGCAATTATCTAAGGAAATCAAATCAAATCATTGATGCAGCTGTTACGCAATAGAGGATGGTATAGGATAATGGAGGTAGCTGATGGTATATGGACAATGCCATTTTGGTTCAGGAGGGGGCGTGGCGACAACAGTCTAGGCATTTTCCATCCTCCAAAACTCTGTTACCATTCTGCATCTGTTTCGGTATCGATGGCAACCAAAAATGTCAGTGCAGCAAATTATTTCATCAATTGCAATGCTCGATTTCAGGAGGTTCACAATCGATGGTCGTGTGCGTTTTTGGGGTTGGATGGGCGATACGACGAGTGAGTGTCCAATCCCTGTGTTGGGTAATTGATATAATGCCGATGGTTCCTGTCGTCGCCCACCTAATAGCGAAAATTGTCAACGGGATTTGGTTTGGGATTTCGGATTGCAATTGGGTGGTGAGTGGGGGTGGCTGCAGTAGGGTGACAGTAATGCAATATCGAATGGCAGCGACGACGGCAGTTCCATAATCATCATCATCATTAACGCGCCAACCGAACAATTGTCACACTAATTTGTGCATATGTGCAAAAATGTTTGGTAATTAAACGGCGCAGCGAAATCCCTCAACCATTTTTCATTCTCCCAAGTAATTAATGTCTTTTGTTAATGGTAATGCATTTGCATTCGGAATTGGAATTATACCCCAATCCAGGGCTAAGACAATTTGCACAACAAAGGGCGCTTGGTGGAATGCTGAAGATGAACTTCATTAAAATTTTGCACGGAACGGAAAAATGTTTTGTGAAAGGGGCGGGAAAAATAGAGAGCAGCAGCTGGTGCATTAAAATTCCTGTCCGGGATTTGGTCTTTGGTCTTGAATAATTATTCATTGTCATTGTAATTGGCGTGCCAGGCGCTAAATGGAATCATAAAGGGAGCTGCGAAGCGGGGCGAAAACTCCAGTTGACGATTTTCATTTTTCCACCAGAGCCAGCAAATTGAAGTTGCTCGATTACTTGGACACTTTTCTTTTTTTTTTTTTTGTTCGTTTTTGATTCCTCTTTGGCCGCCCACATGAGAGGTTTTCCTTTTTGTCTGTGCGCTGCGGAGAAAGAGCGATTACTCCCCATGGATCTCGGGATTGGGATTGGGTTTTCGGTCTTGGCTTTTATATTGTTTGGGACACGTACGGGAATTTTCATTCGATGTCATTTCAATTTTCCTGTGCTCTTTTTTATGGACGCACGGAGAGAGACAAAAAGGGTTTGGATTGGAAAAGATGCAGCTAACACAAGGACCCGACATGGGATTGCGTTTCTGCCATCTATGTCTCTGGGCCTTTGTTTCGCCATTGGTCACTGAGCAACAAATTACCTGAGGCAGGTGAACAACTGCAAAAACGGAGAATAAGGGAGTGAACGAATGAATGAATAAATGAATGAGTGCCTCGATGGACTGAGGAATGTGAGAGAGGGCAAGGTTGAGTGACTCCTGATTGAGTTGGGCCTACTGCTTTATTTTAATGAACTTAAAACGTCCTTAATGAAATTTGGTTTTTCAAAAACAGCTTACTAAATTTTTCCATGTATTTGTTCTTTTAATTGCAGGTAAGCTCATTACGACAAACCTTTTTAACACACCACAAAAGCAACAGCAACAACAAGAACAACAATAATAATAAATAATGTTAGCGTAAGTGCTTGTCTACAATTTTAATTAGTTTTAAATGCAATTTAATGCATTTGTTTTTCATGTTTTTTTAGCCTTGTTTTGGTTTGCCTAATGCTAAAGCACTTAGCATAATTCAGAGACAGAGAGAGAGCTGAATTTAAATTTGAAAACAATAAATCATTTCAACTTTGTGATAAATGCCGAGCATTATACTATGTAGATTAGTGTGGGCGAATTGCTCACATGTGTGTGCATTCCCGCACAATTAGAAACGCATTAAATATTTAAAATCCTGCGCCACATTGTTGAAATGTTTTCCGTGCCTAAAACACACATTAGTCTTGTTTGCTTACGCTTGATTTTATTTACACAGAAAGAATAGGATCTTAAACTTAAAAAATAAACAAAAAGTTTAACGATTGAATGTGAAATAAAAGTCACAATTTTGTATTAAAAAGTTTATATTACAATTGCGTTTATGTGCATATACATATCAATTTTAAAAGTAAAATTTGGGTTATATATGCACTTTAGAGTATTCATTTGTTTTGGCGACTCATTTTACGATCCACCATAAAAATGACATGGCTTTCAATGTTCAGTAGAGTCAGAATTTCGCCCCTAGTTTTATGGCTCATTTGGAGTTTGTTTTTCAGTTTCCGCCCTTCGCATTTAAAACAACTCAATTTCTGTAATGGCCACGCCCCTTTAGATAGTTAAACGCCTTGGCCATAACAGTTCGAAAAAGAAACAACGAACAAAAATCAATCAATGTAAAACGCGGCGAAAGTTGCCTTACTATAAAGCTTTAAGGCGTGTTTGAACTGTCGCTGCCACGCCCACTGCCACCGCCTTTTCCGCCGATTCGGCAATCAAGCTCATTTATTATGCATTTTTCATATGACGGGTTTTCTTTTTTTTTGTCGTTTTTTTTCGACGAATTCTGGGCAGACAATTTAAAATCAACCGCAGAAAAAGCTGCATGTCCTGCCTCTCAGGCTGGAAAATTCTGAAAAGCCTGGAGTGTGGGAAGGGGAGGGGGGAAAGTGGTACGGGCGGAACGGAGACACACGCATGCCAGAGTTGCCTTTGTGTGACAAGAGTGACAACCGACGGCAACAAAATCGATCGCAAAAATCCACGCACACACAAATTACCCGCATTTTTTGTTTATGGGAAAAATTGAAATTCATGCAGAGAACAGCCCTTCATCATCCGTGTCCATATCCATATCTGACCGAATATATCTAGCTGCAATCCATATCCCTGTCGTATCGCTGTCATCGATGGCCCCCTAACAATCTATCGATAAAGATTTCGCGTTGCACAAGTACGGACGCAAAAATATAAGTGGGATCGAACTCTGTATAGCGAACTCAAAGTACAGCATTAAAAAAAAGAGACAGGTTTCGAACAAAAAAAAAATTAACTCAGCGCTCAAGAGCTTATATTAAATGCGGTTTAAAAACATGTTTGAAATATATTTATAAAGTCATTATTTTTGATAAAAATATAATACAATTCATATTGCACAGCATTGAAAAATAGTTGTGCTATTAATCTGGCTATCACTGTAGTTCGTTACATAAATTGTTTCTTTTTTTTGGAAATGTTGAAGAGTTACAAAAAGAGTTTTGGCGAGGGTCGCTTGTTTACCTGGCCCCCGAGGGTTGCCACATGCACATTTGCATATCGTTTCAAGTGCGAGCCAAGTAAAAGGGGTCGTGCCATGGGGGCGGGGGATGAGGTTGGGTAGGCGTGGCACTGCTTATCGCCGCAACACTTGCCGCGAACGGGGGCAAGTATTTCCGTTGCCTGGGCACGCTTGTTAGTCGAGGAGCCGTTTGGGTGGGGAAATGGGAAAATGAGTGGGTGGAGTGGTGGAGCTGCAAGTGTCAGCTCTGCGGCGGAGTTCAAGTCGAAGTTGCTGGTTGTCGCTTAACGATTTCGTGTCATTTTTTGCATTTCCTTCTTATACCGTGGCTTTCTGTTTTATTTTCCACTCCTGCCCGGGCTTTTCTTCCTGCGGTTTTCCGCTTTGAGTGTGCGACGGCCAGTCTTATCGCGTGCTACCTGTGTGGCACCTTCAGACAGCCACAGACTGGGCGAGAGTGATAAAAATTAAAGCAAAACGTAACAAACAAACTGAAAAAAAAAATAATAAGAAAACAAGGCGGCTTCAAGGAAATTCATACTCAGGAAAATAAATCACAAGGTGGGAGAAGCAGCAACAGCAGCAGCAGCAACTCGTAAATTTCTCTGGCCTCTTCGTGTACGTGTTAAAAACTTCTCACGTGTCAGTCGTTAGGATCCCGCAAAAGTAAAGTAAAGTCGCAGGACCGGGGCGGATGTTCGCTCTATCTGCAATGCAGAAGATAACTTTGGCCAGTGAGTGTGTCTGGCATATCATTTGCATTCTGCGCCCCACTCTCTCTCGGCTCGATTATGAAATTTTTGTTATAGTTATTCGAATGATGAATGTGCCAGGAGAGAGCCAGGGCCAGAGCCAGAGCCAAAAGCGTCTGCAATTAGTGGCAGGAAAGAAGCCAAAGGAACCGGCCGAGCCAAGAGTTTTGTCCTTCTCCAAGGAGTTGTCTCCAAGCCTCGCGAATCCGATCAATTAAAAAGCAACTTACGGATGCCGGTGGTCATGGTGCTGCTGCCGACTGTCAGCTCCTCCGGAGCTCGTCGTGATTAATTTCAGTGCCCATTTGCATGCGCCATGGTGAATGATGCCATAATCCTTGCTGGCTGCTTCTGTCCCTTCTGCAGATTCTGGCTCATTCTTTGCTGCTGTTTTAAGTAATTTGTAGCCTTAACTAGAGGGTATTGTGAATATGTTAAGGAGCTGCAAAGTAGTCGAAAGTCTTGGGGGCTGGTAACCAGTATTTTAATGACAATCTTTTGTGGTATTTTGGAAATGTTTTTCTGAATAATAACGAAACATTCTACCAAAAATGTTT